GGGGGGGAGGGGTTTATTTCACAAACCATAATCAATGATATCATGGTTTTAGGTTAGGAAACAAAATAAAATCAGATATTCATTAGATTGGATGGACTGCTAATATTGGTTTGTAAAATAAATCTTCTATATATAGGGTTAGGTTCCGGTGAGAAGAAGCATAAGAAGTGATCTCTATCATTGGATGCACATTAGGATAAGATACACCGATATGAGAAACACCGGGTCACTCCCCGTATCAAGCACGATTCATGAACGATTTTGAGATTAAAGGTGATCAAGGATCCAGATCCCTTATTACATTTCTCAATTTAATTCTCTTTCTCACACGATCCTTCGCTTATACATATAGCGTTGAATTCAAACGAGAACATAATCAAAATAAAACACCATGAAAACATACATCACATCTGATCTCATACTAACCCCATGGGCACCACACTTGGCCCGGCAACCTGAGAAGTTGACAGTTTCTTAATCAAATGTGATCTTTTAGTATAAAATCACAATATACGGAAAACTAAATTTACACACTCATCGTCTTTGAAGAAGCTTGAACCCTTGACTTATGACACTATATTTTTAACAAGGAAGGAACAAGGCTAATGACAGAATATTCTTCTGAAAAATAACATATTACATTCAAATAAAGTGATGAACTTTCTTTACCTATTTGCATTCAATCCAAATACACCCACAAAACATGCAATGAAGATGTACTCTTCTTCCACTTCTTCATGCAGCAATAACTGAATCTACTTATGCAAACAATCTAATATTTCTTCTAACTTTGATCAAAATAATATAACAAGAAGTTGCAGCAAGTGTTATTTTCAATCAAGAAAAAAGAAACAAACACACACACACACACACCAGTTGTAACCTCATCACAGCAACATCTTCATCACTGGATCGAAAGGGTCTCTTATCCGCTATCATGTTTACCTAAAATCAACATATCATGCATGCAAGTCCTTATCTGAACTCCATGCTGCTGATTTCTGAGGACTGCTTTCATTTCCATTCTCCACGTTTATCAGAGGATCAATCTCGCTCTCCTTTGCCTTCAATAGTATAAAAACAAACAATTAGGCCATCATGTGTTGTTCCTGCTGCATTTCAATAATGAAAATTCAAGAAATTGAAGCGGAGGCTTGTTGTCACTGCCTGCCAAACCAAACCAAACATTAGGTCGGATTAATCGAACCATATTGAATTGTTTTGGGATTATCCCATGTTTTGAATTTTAAATTTACTATTTTGCCCATAAGTAATCATTATTGAAATGCGGTTCACCCCCACCCGAGCGCGTAATCTGTTTGCTTTTAGCGTTTTTCTCTTGATAGGAGGGGCCTCCCCCCTCTATATGAAAAAAAAAAATCATTACTTATAGTTGGTAACTTCGATTCTGATCCACAAGTTTCTTCTATTATATCCTTGCAAACAGACATATCAGATATATGATAAATAGTAAAATACTTTTTTTTGAAGTACATAATATTTATATATGACAAATGCAACAAATAAACTCACACACCCTCCTCACATTTAGTGAGGTTTGAACCCCTGACCTCCTAAGAGGACAAGCACAACGATACCGCTAGGCCAAAGGCCCTTTGGTAATAGTGAAATACTTTTATTAAACTAATCGTCAATTCAAGTGACCCATCTTATTTAGGGTGGATAATGTATTGAGGTTTTTGTTCGTTTTCTCAAGGACTTGATGGTGATGGTGATGGTGATGGTTACATGTTACTTTTCCTTAAACTCTCATTACAGAAACAGTTAACCATCCAAGGGCATATATATACAAGACTAGTGTGTAGAAAGATAAGTTAGACTTCGAATTTTGTGGTTATACCTGAGACAGTTGTGTTGATGCTTCATTGGCCTTTGGCTGGGCATCACGGGTACAGAAATAAGAATAGAGTACCATACCAACAACAGCAACGAGGATGCCAAGAATGTTTCGCCAGCTAAATGGGTCGTGCAACAAAACATAGCCAAAAGCAAGAACTAGGCACGTTTTTAAATGACCCAATACTTGATAAGTCACCGGAGATGTCTTCCCAATTACCAAGAAAGTACTGAAGTTCACAGAGACGGATATGAGGCAAGAGAGGACAATGAAAGCCTGCAATTTGAGACAGTTAGGCAAAGAGACAAAAGAGCAATAATGTCTATCGATAAAAAGTGCATTTAGTCCTCACCAGCACTTGAGGAGTATATTTGAAAGCAAAAACATTCTGATTCGTCAAAAGGGCATCTAAAAATGGGCCTATGATGAACAAAGTAAGAGCCTGATAAGGGCAAGACTGATACAGGAGTTGAGTTGAAGAAACCTTGAACTTCTTCTGGATGGTATTTGTCATCTGAGATAGAGTGGTTAAGATTGAACATATAATCATGCAATTTTGTGAGATCCATTGTGAAAAATATCCCAAGTAAACATATTTGAATCAAGGATACTATCTGAGCAACACAAGTTGTAATGACTGCCAGAAGCGATAAAACACTTCCCATGACATTGAGCTGCAAATCGGTTACAGTTGCAATACCAACTCCCATGAGGAGGACAGTAAGTGAGAAACGGATCTTCTTACTGTAGATGCCAGGGAAGAAATATTAACACAAGTAAATGGGATGCTGATTAAGTAATATGAGTTGTGATGGTAAAACTGGTCCCAGTTGCATAGAAATATAGACCCATAAATGTTGATGCATGAACCAATCAAGAATTGTTCATGGTGAATCGAATCCCATTTTTTAAGTAATTTAAAAGCAACTTATCTCTTAAGAAAAATAGTCCACTTCATAGCTTTGATTGGTACCAAAAAAGCAGTATTTCTACATTAGGGAAAAAGAAATTCTTGGATTTTGCTTAAAGATTGGGCACGGTAGTGTTGTTATTACATTTAACTAATAGGAAAATTACAATTGTTCAGAAAGATTGTATAGGAATCTAGTGATCTTTAAACCAAGACGTATCAATGTTAATCACGACAACATTAATTTCGTCCCATTCTGTTCTTTAGGATTTACCAAATAACAACACAAAAGAGTTTTCTATTCATGTGGCCACTAATTATGATCTGGATCAATAAGCTCTAGTACTCTACACAAAAGAAACACAAGCATATTTATAGAACCATATGCCAATACAAATGGCAACTTAGTTATTAGTTTGCAACTCAAAATATCCATTCCAATTCAATAAAGAGATTCGTATGTTTTGCTTGACGAATTGAACCAAATAGTAAGATTCGAATTATGAATTGTTCAATTCTGGCAACTATGTTTAGAAATAAGATCATCCACAGATCACAAAAGAAAATATTGCTTCTTATGCTGACCTTCAAAGATCAAGTAAAGCTTGAAGAGCAAATGGTATAAGAAATTGGATCTAAGAATGAGTTGTTAAGGTTCTTAATCTGTTTCAGAACAAAGAAGAAAAGAAAGGTGTAAAAAGCTAAACCTGAATTGCTTGCTGAAGAAAAGAGTCTCTAGAAGTACAGTGCATGGGATGATTGCTAATTTGGTCATCTGCAATAAAACCACGATACTTCGCTAAATTACCCTACAAATAAACTCTTAAAAATATCAAGTCAGAATAACATTTTATACCATTTTGCAAGATTTACACTAGTGGAATAGAACACAGACTTGGTTCCCTCAGTGTTTGTCATTTATTCTGTCAATTATGATCCTCCATAACCATGATGATTCTCTACTAAGGGTTATGAAGTTATAATCTCCAATTACGGACATAGTCGATGGGGACTTCTATGCATAAATTGCAGTGTCAAGGAGGAATCCTTACCTGGTAAAACCCCACAGAATTGAAACCCAGACTAAGGTTCAAAAGCCCAATGGAGGTCCCGTTCAATATGCCAAAGCCCATGACAGCTTTAGGATCAAAAGGCTTATGCTCAAAAAAATTCATCCATAATGCCACATGCAACGAACAAAAGGTGACTAGAAGATGCCAGCTTGTCAAAGTTGTAGCTGAGAGGACAAGGAATCAAGTCAAACCCAACAAAAGTGAACACATCATAGAGTTCAAAATAGCATCTAAATCAAATTGTCTCATGTGGCCCTGAGTTCATAAGTGTGAGAATATTGGTAAAATATCCAACATACCCCCCTCAATACTAATAAAATAGATTAATTTTGTGGAGCATAATTGAAGCCGTCAATCTTTTGCAGTAATTACTATTGGCCTTCAATTTGAAACTTAGCCAAAAATGAAAACGTAGAAGCTGCATTCATTTTAGTACACCTCAAATTAGAAATTGTTGCATTATATTAGGGACGGAGGGAATAGCGTAGAACAGATCTGCTGGGTTCAATGCTTTCTGCTTATAATGTTGTATTCAAGCTTTTTATTTCCTTTGTATTTTCCTTGTATAAATAGGTTGGTAACTTTGTATCTTGGTATCTTAGAGAACTTTGCGTGTAACTTTGGTATTGTAATTTTGAAGCATTCAATACATTCTACGCTTTAAAGAATATTCTCTTTCTACTCTCTAATTTCTACCATTGTTGACTTCATGTTCTTGGTGTTATTTTGATCAATTGATTGAATCTGGGAATGTCAAGATCTCCAACAAGAGACAATTGCAAAAAAAATATGATTTAGGTCTTAAAATTTCACAAAAAAAAAATTAAATTACACCAAAGATGTTTCTAAACGACTTGGGAGAAATTCAAATTGTTGGTTCACATTGACAACTTTAGAATCCCTCTACCCTGTTGGTAAACTAGCAACCCTTGCTAGTTCAGAAAGAAAAGACTCTAAAGGGAATGAAATCAATGGTTCAAAGAGAAAAGAAAGGCTAGACAATATTGTATACCACTTCTACATTTTCAAGTGAATTAATTATCACGTAGCATAATAATGACTAATACAGTAGATTTAAACGATCACACAAAATAAACTTGATGTAATTGATTGTGATGTGATTTAATGTTTATAAATTTAGTATCAGACTCCCAATTAAGCTGGTGAAGCAAGTATATGATGTACATATTTTTAGTGGAAAACAATTAGTTTATGTTAAATCATAAATGCATTTAAAAGGTGGGCATTGAAAAATTCTTTTCCATGGATGTACGTACGAGGTCCATGGTTTGTACATTGAATGGTTTTCACTCTAGCAGTGTAGCCAGAAATAATACTTGATATTTTATTATACACTTGATATCCATGGTATGAACAAATGAGCCATGCCTATGAATACAAATATTTAATAGGACAAATATAACATTGACTCTATAATTGGGTCACGAAATATTAGAAATTCTAGGAAGCGCATACTGTTAAAAGAAACAAGTTCTATTAAAGTCAAAGTAAACATGCAAGTCACAGAGATAACTCAGCATTTGGTGGTCCAGTACCACCAGCTTTTACCTCATTATGTATTGTTGTCTACAATCATAGGTTACAGTATTAAGCATAAACTATATAAGGCAGCATATATGTGACTGACACACCTCAGATTTGATGACTTTTATGTTATCGACGTCATATACCAAAAAAAATGGCAACTAGATAAGCATTCATAATTCACAAATTGAAACCTGTGACCTATTGATTTGAGTACTTATATGCATAATAAAATGGGAAGCATAATAAAATCTGGAACACTGAATAGCCTTTTTTAAGGGGATCTAAACATGCTAACAAAATCTTCCCTTGTTGTTGAACACGCAACCTCTTAAACCCTAATGGAGTACATATAATTGGAGATTTGCAGCCAACCACCATTTTGGTCAAGTCCACCATTCAATAAGCTTCTCCAGACAATCTGTGTCATGTAGGAACATGATATTATATATGAATGAAATATGGGGTTCCGCTTTCTTAACATTGGCTTCCGAGAATCCAACCTAAAAACCATGACTTATGGATGGGAAGGATCACTTCTAGGATGGCTATAGGCTATATTAACTTGAGAGCTCCAAAAAAACTCAAAATGAGTTCATTGTTCTAACAAACACTCGCACGTCGCCAAGATTGTGAATGCAAATAAAAATTGATAAAGCAAACTAGTTGATATGACCATAAAGTCCAATAGGAGATAAGCTACAGCTCTAGATACATGCACTTGTCGAACCATTTTTATTTTATGTTGCCTTTTCCAGCCTTAGGGAAGAATGTAGGCTTAAGGAAAGGTATAGGGATACCAAGAATTAACATGATTGAAGATAGTTGAGCAAGTTCTGAACAAGAAGATATACCAATTGACTTGTCCCTAGATAAAAGAGCATGGGAGGACGTTATTCATGTTCCAAGCCATAGTATAGGTTCAAATCACTATGATTTTTTATACGTCTTGCTTCTAACCCACCCCAACAAGTTTGGAATATAATGCATGTTGTTGCCATTGGTGGTGATGGTTGGGAGAAGCATATATGGGGATGCATTGTCGATGAGGATAAAGATGTGTGTCTTCTCTCTTCTCTCTCTAAATATAAATGAAATACCCTGATTGCATGATCAAGAACCAATGAGAATTTGTGACTAATACCAAGTGGGAATCAAATCATTGTTTCTGAGAAATACCCTAGCATGTTGCAGAAGACAGTGTTGGTGACGTGGATACACTGCAAAAGGAATGAACCAACAGCATGCTTTACTTGGATGACAAAATATCAAAACAAGGTCTTGGCGTCAGCAGAAATGCAGATAATAAAGAAGTTAAAGTTACATTTAAGGACTCTGACTCGAAAGAAAACAGGGAGTCAAACCAAAAAAGAAGGCAAAAATCCAGTTAATAGAAGATGAAAGCACAAACATAGTCAATAACACATAGAAACAATTAAGAATGCCAATTCACAGACACCCCAGATGAGTTCAAATTCAAATATGCAAGGGAAAGACGCCTTGGTAAAATTACTGCATCCAGAAAGTGACAGATTGGAAAGCCAACTCAGCAGTATGAAGCTAAGGTCATCCAAAAAAATACTAATAAAAAGAGACTACAACACATGGCGTACAAGATCAATGGCTTACCAAAAGTAAAACCAAGGGTGCTGATGAGCGCCTTGTTGCAAATTACAATCGAAACCGAAGAAACCACAGATAAACCTAACGCGCCGATTGTTCCCAGCTGAAACCGCTGTCCCTCACTCATCTTCTTCACTCACTACAAGAAATTTGTTGTGCAATATGTTCGTTTATCGCTTCAAATGTGGATCTTGATATCAAACTCTACCAAACAAACAAAAATCGAAGTCTTAGACATACAAATTCAAAACAAACTTGGTCTTCGTTTAAGTAAATCTAAACGAATAAAGCATCAGAAACCAAATTTTACCTCGTTCAAGTGAAATCACGAACAAGCTCTAACTGCAAATCAGAAAGTGCAAACCCAAGTACAAACAAAAACCCATGTAATTCAACATTCAAAAACCCTAGATCTACAACTTCAGATTGGGCGACAAAACAGTAAAATCGTTTCACATATGCGTAAATGTAGAAAGAGAAGGCAAAAAAAGGTCACCTGAAAGTTGATACGACTGAGAAAAACCAAGATGTTGACTCAATATCGAAAGATATGTATATATAGAATGAAATTAAATCAAAATCTGATCTGAATGGGGAAAAAGAAAACCAAATTTGGTTTAATGCGGGAGTGGAAAGTGGAGGAAATTAATGCCAGCAAAAAATTACTCGTTTTTAATATGTGATTTTCCGGCAGTGTTTACGCCGGCGGATCATGTGCTAAATGCTTTAACGGAATCAGGAAAATGGACGGTCATGGCTTTATCTTATTCATTTCATTCTAGTCTTAATGAAAATTGTTGGTGAATTGGCTGGGGTTGACTCTTTCAATTTTCAAATCTAACATTGGCATACATATCTATACTTATCTTATAAAACACTAGTGTTTTTTTTGGAAACAACAACTTATTAAGAAACCACCGAGGCTAGCAAGATGCTAGCACTTACAAAAGAGCCGTTAAAGGGCTGGTATACCAAACATTCCAATCGAGAGAATTACAAGACTTCGATCTGAGTCTAATCCAATTAAAAGGAAAAAGCACAATATCCTTGTAAATTACCATCGGATTTTTACCAGTTTTGTTGAAGACCAACACATTTCGATTCGTCCAAATCATCCAAATAAACGCCATGAGAATTACTTCCAATCCCTCCTTAACCTTCTTCCCTTTGAAAGGAAATTGTGCTGCAAAAAAAATTCCGCCAAATTGGTAGCTTGGCAAGGAAAGCCCGACCACCAATTCTTTACATACGCATCGATCACCTTTGTAGTCGAACAACCAAACAAGAGATGATCTTCCGTTTCTGTTTGATTTAGGCAACAAGGACAGAGAACTGAGCTCACTTGGACACCTCTAAGGAAAAGATTATKTCTAGTGGGGAGTCTAGACTTTGAAAAACGCTAGATAAGCATATTCACTTTACCAGGAACTAATTTGTTCCACTTCGAAACACTTCCGTCAGATTGTAAAACCCCTTCGTCAATCTTTCCCCGACACGTCTTAACCGAGAAAATCCCATCCTCGGATAAAGCCCAGCGGCGAGAGCCATTGCTGTCAACCGCCCAKAAATTATTAACATTCAACCCRACTTTCCGAATGAGAGAATCCCATTTAGCRATAGTTCCCCATACACCCGGTWTCTTACAACCGTCACTAAAAATACMCCCACTAGCACCATGAAACGCCTTTATACAATCTCTCCAAAGACTACCCTCTTCAATTAAAAACCTCGACCACCACTTAGCAAGAAGACTCCAATTGAGCGCCTTCAAACTACCAATACCAATACCACCTTTGTCCAAAGTGTTGCAAGCAACTTTCCACCTAACCCAGATAATTTTTCTACTCTGCCCAGACCGGCCCCAAATGAATTGATTCTGAAGGCTTTCAAGGGTGCTAAGCACTTTTTCCGGGACTTTAAACAGAGAAAAAAGATAATCTCCCAAACTACCAAGAACCGATTTACAAAGAATCTTCCTACCACCAAACGATAAAGACTTGGCCTTCCAGGCGGAGAGTTTCTCTTGGAACTTATCCACTAACTTATTCCAACTACTACTTCTACCCATCTGCGCTCCTACTGGAAGACCCAAATATTGAAACGGAATAGAGGAGATCTTACAATTCATTCTTTGAGCAAGAAACTCAGCTTCACCGGTAYCCAYRCCAATGCCATATAAACAGCTTTTCTGCAAGTTGATTTTCAACCCCGAAGAAAGATAAAAACATCTAAGCAAACGAATCAAATTTAGGCCATTCGAAAACGACCAATCCCCCATAAAWAGAGCGTCGTCAGCATATTGAAGAATCTCTATTCTAGGTCCACCTCTGGGAAGMGACAACCCATTAAAAACACCTTTGATACGAGCTTCATACATAACCACCCTAAGAGCCTCCAWAGCTATTATAAAAAGGAAAGGGGCAAGAGGATCACCTTGACGCACTCCTTTCTCCATGAWAAACTCCTCMGTAGGACTTCCGTTCACCAGAATAGAGACACTAGCATTAGAGAGAATTCCTCGAATCCACTTTCTCCAGGTATTACTGAAACCCATTTGCCCCAAAACCTCGTCTAAAAATTCCCAGTTCAAATTATCGAAAGCCTTCTCAAAATCAGCTTTGAAAATTAATATTTTACGCTTTGTCTTTCTGGCCCAAGAAATAGTCTCGTTAACGATAAGCGGGCCATCCAGAATGCTTCGACCCTTAATAAAAGCCGACTGCTCCTTCCCGATAATCGAATCCAACACCCCTTTGAGTCTATTAGCCAGCAACTTGGAAACAATTTTACAAACACAAACAATAAGGTTAATCGGCCTGAAGTCTTTGAACGACAAAGGGTCCTTTACCTTTGGAATAAGAGTAATGAAAGACGCATTGCATCCCCTTCCAATTTCTGCATTTGCGTCGAAGGATTTGACCGCTTTGAAAACATCGTCCCTAATGACATCCTAAAACTTTTAAAAGAAGGCAAAGGAATAACCATCAGGCCCCGGCGCTTTTTCATTACCACAACCCCAAACTGCAGATTTTACCTCCTCAAAAGAGAAGGGCAACTCGAGCGACTCCTTTTGACTTAGCGAGATTCTTTTGAAATGATTGCTCTTGAAAGACGGTCTACACACCTTATCTTCCGAAAATTTCTCTTTGAAAAATTCAAAAGCAGCTTTTTTCATCTCTAACGGATCACGAGTCCATCTTCCATTTACAACGATACCATGAATATTTAACTTATTAAATCTGCATCGAAGAATACCATGGAAAAACCGAGAGTTTTCATCTCCTTCAAGAGTCCACCGAGCTTTGGCCTTTTGCCTGAGATCACTAATAACCGCTTCATCAATCTCCAAAATACGCTTCAGAGTCTCTATTCTAGTCTGCGCGACATCAACATTCAGATTACCAGCTACCACAATCGAATCAAGATCATTGATCTTAGCCATAAGCAAGGCCTTCTCGGATCTTGAGGAGGCCGATTTTGAAATATTCCAAGCTTTGATCTTCACCTTTAGCCGCTTTAAATTGTAGAAAAGAAACCGAATGTTGTTAGGATTCGAGAAACCATTGCGATTTTTTATCCAGCTCTCTTTCACCATCTGAACAAAATCAGGATCATTAAGCCAAGAATTAAAAAGTTTAAAAGGGATCGGTCCAAAGTCCACTTCACAGCCGTCAAGCAGGATAGGGCAATGATCCGAATAAAGAAACGGCAGCGCCGTCACACAAGCCTTAGGCCATAAGGCTAGAAAACTCTGAGATACCAAGAAACGATCAAGTTTGCTCCATTTAAAGCCATCCGCACTTTTTCTCGTGAACTTACGACCACCCATTTTGAGATCCAAGAACCCGATCTCGGAAATAAAATTATTGAAGACCAAGGCACTCCCAGCATCAAACTCTGACCCAACCCTTTCCTCCCGACGTCTAACAACATTGAAATCACCGCAGCAAATCCAAGCATCAACAACTAAAGACTCCACAAGATCCTTAAGGGTAGACCACAACCGCTCTTTACCACTAGCATCTTGAGGAGCGTAGACGTTACAAATACCTAACGTGACCCCGTTGGGGCGCCAAGAGCCAATAACTAACAAAAAGTTTCTGTCCGAGAAAGAGTTTAACTTGATGAAAAAAGAAGAGTCCCATAAAGATACCAGACCACCAGACATACCAATCGGATCAACCGAAGCCATCTCAACATTCCTACCCCCCCACACCGAAGAGCATAAAAACTCTTTAGGAAGAGAGGAGATTCTAGACTCCTGTATACAAAGAAAGTTCACTCTATTATCCTACTTGAGATCCTTAACCCAATTCCTTTTAACACCTCCCCCAAGACCATTGACATTAAGCGAAAGAATTTTTAACATAGACAACCAATTTCTCCATCAACTTGCAAATAATCTCTATCCAAATCTTCTTTCCCTTCCAAATCAAAACCAACCATACAACCAACCCGAATAGTTTCATCGACTTCTAAATTGGGAACCTCGGAATCCAAATCAACATTCGGAACCTCCTCTACATCCCTGTCTTGGTCTACWACCTCAGTAATGGGCTCCTCGACCTCCGGAACCTTTTTAGACCTAGCTCCGTACTTCCTTCGACATTTCAGACGCAATTCCTTTTTCCTCGAAACAATCGACCAAGCTTGACTATCTTCAAGTTCATATTCATAACCATCCAAGTAGGAAGCAGGTCCCCCTATATTTCCAACCAGAGCAAACTCTTCCTCTCTCTGGCCATCCACCTAAACTGTATAACCAAAACTCTTCGGAGAGGCATTGAGATCTAAATCCTCGTTCCCGATATCCCTAGAAGGCACAGACCCAAACGGGCCGTCCTGAGAATCAGGCCCATCTTGGAGCCTCGGGGAATTAAAATTGCTCGCCAACGGCCCACTTTTAAAGTCCACATTTTTATCCGATCCAAAGCCCTTATCGAAGATAACCTCACAAGAGTTAATACCACCCACCTCAACATTTATATCCCCATGCAGATCATGGCTAGAAGGATTGGGTTCCCTGCTTTTATTTCTGTTCGAGGAACCATTCCGACAACCCAGATTCAACTGATCCACTTCAACTTCCTTTGCCTGCCCAGCCTACGAGGAATCTGACTGACCCGGAGATGAAGAAAGRAAACCATCATCATCAAATAAATTCTCTGAACGACATAACGAATCCGATTCCGAGTCTCCGTTAGCATCCTCAAAAAAGGATCCCAATGACATGCCCTCCGCAATATCTTTAGCCACACGAACTCGAACATGAATCCCATCGACAATTAACTCAAGAGAATCCATAATCCATGTTTCCTCACCAATAAGAATACCGACTTTCCCAAATTCCCTATTCCTGCTATCTGTCGAACAATTTTCAGGAATTATAACTTCTCCCCATCTCCCAACAATTTCAGCAAACACACTAGGGGTCCAAACATGTATTGGCTCACCATGAATCGTGACAAAAGCTATCCTTTCCTTGACCATAAACTTATCAGACCAAAAGTCTAATTCGCTAAACCAGTCACTCCAAACACATTTGTTATTATACATAAAATTTTGAGCATCAGCATAACTCTTTAATCAGACCTGAACATACAAACCTCCCAGATATCTGACCAACAACTCCTGAGAAAATGTAACTTCCCCAAATTTTTGGAAATTACATAACACATCAAAGCTACGAAACTTCCCAATAAGAGACGATTTCAGCTTACCTTTCATTTCT